ACCCCCCTCCAACCCTCCCACTCCAAACCCCCTCCTCCAGCCCACCACCACCACCCAGCCGCCCGCCGGGCGCCACCCGGCCGCCACTCACACGGCCTCCCGCTGTTTGCGCTTGGCCTCCTTGGCCGCCTTCTCCAGCTCATAATTGTACTTTGAGAACTCCATGATGCGGACCTGCTCGGGGGCGGTACAGGGAGCGGTACGGCTGAGACACATGCCGCCTGACGTGACAATGGAGGCGGTGCATCGCAGCGAGCAGCGGCAGCAAGCAGCGGCAGAGGCAGCGGCAGCGCGCTGCAACGGCACGCTCCTGGGGGCGCACCCCGGGGGCAGCAGCACCAAGCGCTGGTGCTGCAGGCGCCTGCCGAACCGGCGGCGGCGGCGGCGGCGCGGCCGCACAAAGCGGCGAGAGCTGCTCACCACGGGTGGCGCTGCGTCCGGCACAATCATGATCAGGTCCATGCCCAGCGACCGCGCCTCTGCCAGCGCCCTGCATGGGGGAAGGAAGAAAGGAAGAATGACAGGAAGAAAGGAAGAACGCGCGCATCCTCGTGTGGCCAGCAAGCGGGCCGTGTGGCACCCCGGCAGCGGCGGCGAGCTCACCGCGACGTCACCATCACCCCCAGCGGCGTCTTGTCCTCTGCCAGCACCCGCACCTCGGCGGCGCTGCGGGGAGGCGGCGGCGGTGGTGAGGTGGGGGAGAGAGTGAGAAGGCGAGCGGCGTGTTGCGTGCGCGAGGCGGCGGCGGTTCCAGGAGGGGGCGTTGGGAACAGACGGCAGGAGCCGGGCCGCGAGGGGCAGGGATGTAAGCGCCGGCTGGTCGTCTGCTGCAGCACACCCAAACCCACACGCAAGCACACGCCCCGGCACCCAGCCATGCTGCCCGACCCTGCGGCCTGTCCCCTTGTCGGCGCCTCACCGGATGTTTTCATTCATGGGTACCAGCGGCTCGCGGGGGACTCCCCTGCCGCGCCCTCCGCGCTGGAAGTTGCCTGAGCCGCGGCCGCCGCCGCCGCGCTCGTCGTCGCTGCCGCCGCTGCGGTAGCCGCCGCCGCCGCGGCCGCCCGGGGTGTAGGTGCCACTGCTGGCGCCGCCGCGGCCGCCGGGGGTGTAGGTGCCAGTGCTGGCGCCGCCGCGGCCGCCGGGGGTGTGGGTGCCAGTGCTGGCGCCGCCGCGGCCGCCGGGGGTGTACGTGCCACTGCTGGCGCCGCCGCGGCCGCCGGGGGTGTATGTGCCACTGCTGGCGCCGCCGCGCCCGCCGGGGGTGTAGCCGCGACCGCCGCCGCCACGGCCGCCCGGGGTGTAGGAGCCGCCGCCGCCGCGGCCGCCTGGAGAGTAGGAGCCGCCGCCGCCACGGCCACCACCGCCGTCGCCTGTCCGAGGAGTGTAGCCGGTGTTGGGGCGTGGCGGCGGCGGGGCCGCTGCCGAGCCGCCGCTGCCTGGGGGCCTGCTGGGCGGCCTATCTGTGGAGTAGGTGTTGCCTACCTGCAGCACCAGTCCCAGCAAGCGGACAGGCCGGGATGGGAAGTGGCGGACGCAGGCAAGGGCGGCATGGGCGGGGTTGCCCAACCAGCCGGCCCGCCCGTTCTCCTCCCCACCTGCCCCGACTGCCGCCAAACACTCACCTCCAGCCTCAGCTGCCGCGCTGCGGGCCTAAACGCCGCCACGCCAGTGGGCTGCACCCGGCAGGGCGCTCCCAGGGCCTGCATGGCTACCAAACCGCGGTTTCAGAGGCTGTGCTGCGGCTTTGGCACGGTTGCAAGGTGAATGCACGGTGATTTCGTGGCAAAAGTGGGTGGGGCGGTCGCTCGTGCCGGCTTCGGTGTGGGCGATTGCTCAAGGGTGGTAGCCGACACAAGCTTGCTGGATGCCGCCTTCAATCTCGACACCTCATCGGCTGGGGTGCCATGTGGCAGGGCGCGAAGGATTGTCTCTCCCTCGGCGCCCCAGCCCTACCCTCGTTACATCCTGACGAGTCAAGCTGCCAATTGCCATTTGCAGGCAGCCCGGGCGGCCAGTTGGGTGCAGCCGCCACAGCAGCCACCACTCCTTAGTAAACTCTGTGGCCTCTCTGGACCTTGTGCACGCGCCGTGTCATCTGTTTAGCACAGCAGAAACGCCCCAGACCTCCCCGCCGCCGCCCAGCGGGGACCTTCTGACAGCGCTGGGCGCCGCAGACAGCCAGCCTCGCAACCATGGTGAGCCCGGGGCTGGGGTTAGCGCATGCCGCGCTGCCGCGCCGGCATGTGTGCACGCATGCATGGTGGCCGCCGCCGCCGCCAGCGGGCGCCACCCCTCCGCAAGACGCCTTCCTGGCCTCCCTATCCCCGCAGGTCCAGCACAACTTCAAGGCCATGCAGGCGGTGCCGACTGCCAAGGACTTTATCGACATAGTGCTGTCCAAGACGCAGCGCGGCACGCCCACCGTGGTGCACAACGGTGCGTGCAGGCTCCCGCGGGTGCTGCCGCTGCCGCTGCCGCCGCGGGTCTGCTCGTCTGCTGCAGCGGCAGCGACAGGGAGCAGCAGGCTGTCCGGGGGTTGCAAGAGGCTCTGAACGGCTGCGCAGCCACCTACGGTCCTCCGTGCGCCGTCCCAGCACCAGGCCGCCGCCTGCCTCCCCCCTCCTGCTCCCCCCGCGAGCAGGCTGGGCCATCCAGCGCATCCGCCAGTTCTACACCCGCAAGGTCAAGTTCACGCAGCAGAACTGGCACGACAAGCTGACACAGATACTGGACGACTTCCCCAAGGTGGACGACGTGCACCCCTTCTACTCAGACCTGCTCAACGTGCTGTACGACAAGGTGGGCTGTGTGTGCGCGCGTGTGCGCGCTCGCGTGTGCGTGTGTGTGTGGTGTGCGCTCTGTACGACAAGGGTGGGCCGGTGTGGGGGGTGTGTGGTGCGGCAGTGTGTGACGGCGGCCAGTGCATCCCCGGTGCAAGTGGGGAGGTGGGAGGGTTGGGCGCGCTGCGGGGGTGGTGGGCGGGGAGGCGCCCGCGCCAGCAGGCGTCGCAGGGAGGGCATGCTGGCACATGCGGCGGCGCTGTCGGAGGGCGCAGCCCTGCGCTGCCTGCGGAGCTTGCGCTGATGTGGCTCCCGCCTGCGCCTGCACCCGTCCCTGCCTGTGGTCCCGTGCAGGACCACTACAAGCTGGCGCTGGGCCAGATCAACATGTGTCGCAACCTCATAGACCGCATCTGCCAGGTGGGGCCACGAGCGCAGGTGGCGGTGGTACAACCTCAGATAAGGTTTCTGCAGTGACGCGCATGCGGCACCACCATGGCTGCTGCTGCGCTGTAGCTAGCAGTGGCAGTTATTGGCGGCTGGATATCGGGTGTGGGGTGGGCGGGCGAGAGGGGCTGGGTGGCGGGGGTGGCGAGGCGGCGTTTGCTGACTTGCGCTGGCTTCTGCCTGTACCGTGCCCCTGTACCACCCCGCAGGACTACGTGCGCCTGCTCAAGTACGGCGACAGCCTGTACCGCTGCAAGCAGCTCAAGCGGGCAGCGCTGGGGCGCATGGCCACGCTGATGAAGCGGCAGGGGCCCTCGCTGCAGTACCTGGAGCAGGTGCGGGCTGGAGGGCGGCGCCGTGGCGGCGGTGGTACTGCAGTCATGGTACTGCAACAGGGGCAAGTGCAAGCCGGCAGCCGGGCCGTGCCGTACGGAAGCAGAGGGGTGTGTGCGCACGGGTACACCCTTGCGCACACACGGCCCTGTGCCCGCTGCCGACCTGCCCGCCGCGGTCTCGGGACCCTTCCCTCTGCTGCCCCCCGCAGGTGCGCCAGCACATGAGCCGCCTGCCCGCCATCGACCCCAACACCCGCACCCTGCTGGTCTGCGGCTACCCAAACGTTGGCAAGTCGAGCTTCATGAACAAAGGTGGGGCGCGCCTCGGGGCGAGGGGGCGCGGCGGCGGCTGCCGCGGGCGCGGGACAGGCTGGTGTGGGTTGGGCGTCTGAGGGGAGGGCTGTGGTGGGCCCACAGCGCCTGCGTGTTGCTGTGGGCCTGTCGGGATCGTCTGCTGACCGTGTGCTGGCCTGGCCTGTGGCACCAAGCGGAGCCCAGGGGCTGGGCGCCGGGAGTGTGACTGTGTTGTGAGCAGGCCTGTGCTTGAATGTGCGGCCAGCGGCACAGGCTGCCCGGCCCGGCCCGCTGCCCGCCTCCCCACCTGCCATGCGCCTGTGCCCCCTCCACTCCCTGCCCTGTAGTGACGCGCGCGGACGTCGAGGTGCAGCCCTACGCCTTCACCACCAAGAGCCTGTACGTCGGCCACACAGACTACAAGTACCTGCGCTGGCAGGTGTGTGTGTGTGCGTGTGTGCATGTGTGTGTGCGTGTGTGTGTGCGCGTGTGGCGGGGTGTAGTGGTGCTGGCGGGTTGCGAGCACTGGCGCCCCGGGTCAGCGCTGCTAGCAGGCGCAGCCCCGCCTCCTGCGCTGCCCCACTCCTCCACCCTGTACCCTCCACCCCACCCCCTCCCAACCCCCGCCCCGGCACTACACCCTCTTCTTTCCTCCCCTCCCCCTCGCCACCCCCGCCAGGTCATCGACACCCCCGGCATCCTGGACCGCCCGCTGGAGGAGCGCAACACGATTGAGATGCAGAGCATCACGGCGCTGGCGCACCTGCGCGCCGCCGTGCTCTACGTGCTTGACATCTCCGAGCAGTGCGGCTTCACCATCAGGCAGCAGGTGGGGCGGCGGGGGGTGGGGGTTGGGGTGGGGGGCACGGGCAGGCGGCGTGGCGGCACGGCGGTGGTGGTGGTTGGGGATGGGGCAGTGGTCGTGTGGCAGCGTGGCATGGTTGTGGCATGGCAGCCGTGGTGTGGCGTCGTGGCATGGGGGTGTGGTGACGCGGCGTTGGTGGTTTGGCGCGTGTCGCCTCCGCGCCAGCCTGCCGCGCCCCGGCCTGCTGCGCCGCCACCCCGCCTTCGGCCGCTCCACCTGCGCCCCTCCCTCCTCCCTGCCCCTTAACCCCACCCCCAGGCCACCCTGTTTCACTCCATCAAGCCCCTGTTTGCCAACAAGCCCGTGCTCATTGTGGCCAACAAGACCGACGTGGTGCAGCTGGAGGCGCTGTCAGGTGGGACGTTGTGCTGGCAGCAGGCGGGCGGGGCGTACGCCCGCGGCCGCAGCACCCGCGCCGGCCTCCTGTGGGCTGCCCTCCGTCTTGCTTCTGCTTTGTTTTTTGTGCTTTTTTTCTGTCGCCGCGTCACGGCGCGCCGGGCTGTGCCTGTGCCTCTGCCTTACGCCATGCCGCGCCACGCCGCCGCAAGCGCCGCCGCCTCGCCTGCCCGCCCCGGCACGCTCCTTCCCCACCCCCC